AGAGCCTTAGGACAGACTTTGTGCAGATGAAAGAATTAAATGTTTCCTATGGTGGGTTATGAGCAGAAGTACTTGTCCCTGTGAATCTCCAGCTATCTGGGCACTATTGTTGAAAGTGGAATCTCCCTGGTGGGAAACTGGATTGAAATTGTACCAATCTTCTGCATTACTTGCCTTTTTCCTTCCATTAAGTTACACCATTTTCCTCCATTGCTTAAATTGAGTAACCAACTTCCTCCCATTTCTGTTCCTCTCAATACTAGCATGTCCTTGTGCGAACATGTTGCTAGCTTCTTTAGGTGCTGTGGAAGCGGTGACTTGTGCAGTCTGATATTGGGGAGGTATAGAAATAGGTGGACTGCTGAGCAATGATAGCAGTGAACTTGGAGCTAATAGGATTGGAGCCAGGAATAGGAAGCAGGACAGGTTGGGGAAGGCAGGTAGAACCAGAGAAGTTCAGAGGCAGAGGAAGACATGGAGAGCAGCTAGAACCCTCATTGGAAAAAGCAGGTGAACTTCAGTTTAGTAGAGGTATCTTTTCTGGGAAGGCTGAAAAACTGGTTTTCAGTGGAACTTGAGGAATTTTCTGGAAAAAATAAACAGTTCCCAAGTGCCTTTGTTTTGTAAGAATTAAAGAATTGTAAGCACCAGCCAGAGCCAAGGATGAGAGGGCGAAGCCAATATGAGTGTGCATTGGGAACACTGGACTCTGAAACTTGCCTGCATAAGTGATTTATGGGACTTTTTTCCTGCGTACTATTTAATGATTCATTAAATATCTCTGGGTTTACTCAGGCACACAGTAATTACTGTTCCAAAGTAGTGCTAACAGAAAGACAAAGACCTTGAGTTTGTGTTTTGAGATGTCTTACATTGTAGGAAGTAGATCTTATCGACCATCTGGTGGCATCAGTACAAAGCCATTTGGGTAACTCTGTGTGCCATGAGATCATATGACAGAACTACGGCCTACAAAAGCCCCTGTGAGGCTTGGTCTCTATTGAGTGTGAGGTGGAAAGTGCATTGAAAAAGGAGTTAGCGGACCTGTGTTCTCAGCAGTAAACTTGTCAGAACTTTTATCCCTCCATTTCTTAATCTGTAAAATGGGGTTGAAAAACATGGTACTGCTGATCATATGAAATAATACTTATGCAAATGAACTCCAGGAAATAGAAATGAGTTTTTTTCTTCTTTTTTTTTTCCTTTTCTTTTTTCTTGTTTGTTGATTTATATGTGTTTGGGATGGTAAATGGTGGGGGGGACACAGAAATGGAAGGACAAAGGATGAACATGCAGTAGTCATACTAGACAGTACGTTGAAAATGAATTATATAACTTGTGGCTGGTGACAGAAGAGGAAAAACTAGGAGAGAGAAAGGGAAGGTGTGACATTGTACAAAAAGAATTGTAGTCTTTACCTGACTTATGTAATTATAACCCTTATGTACATCACCTTTATAAAAAAGAATGATAGACGTGGAAAAAACTGATGACTGCCCACCTACCAGCTGATGAGCAAGTGGTTATTATAGCATCTTCAGAGACTGAACTGGGAAGAGTTTAGTGAGACTATGAAGGCCAGTTGGTGCTGGGATATGCTGAGATACATTCTCAGCTTCCCTGTCTCTTCCTCTCTTTGCAGCTCTAGGGGTAGTTTAGATGTATACCATTCTAAAACACATGCTACCCAAATTTGGAGCTATTTTGAAGTCACTCAAGGAAGAAAGCACTGGTAGTCAAACCAAGGCTAGGTGCCCCGTAGTCTTTAAATTAAAATGTAAGTTTAGAGGTTTCCTTAGTTAATAGATAGATGTGGCCTCACTAGGATTCAATATTAGAAATCTTTGAAGTTCATAGTAGAGGCTATGAGTTAGTTCACTGGGAACTGAATATAATGAATTTGCAGTTCTCTTTCAGAGCTACTCTACAGTACCTAATTTAAAAATTGCAAAAGGTAGTCTCTTGGTTATGGAAGGAGACCCACAAGATGAGAAAGGCTACAGTGGTGATTACAAGGACTTGGCCACATGCATATTACTGTGGGAAAAATTCATTTAGAATCAACATTGGATTAGGACTTGTACATGGTTTTGCACATATGTAATCCTAGCTACTCTGGAGGCAGAGGCAGGAGGATTTTGAGTTCAAGGCCAGCTTGGGTAAAATTCTCAAAACCTTACCTCCAAAATAAAATTTAAATAAAATGGCTAAGACTGTGGCTCAAGTGACAGAAAGACTTGAAGTGGAAGGCCCTGGGTTCATTTCTTAGTATATGAATTTGGAAAAAAAAGATTTTTGGGAGTGTAGATGTGGCTTAATAGGTAGAGCACCAGCCTTGAAGGGAAAAAAGCCAAGCCAGAAAAAGAGAATTTGAATTAAAGCCCTAGTACTGGCATAAAATAATGACAATGATTATGATAATAATAATAATGACTAGATTAGTTATTGCAGAAGAAATTATTCTATGAGTGATGGAGAATGATATGAGAGCTGAGTATGTTTCAAGTGGGGGCTTCTTTCCTCTATTAGGTTCCTGGATGTAACAATCAGCCAAATGGAGTTCTAGGGAAATCATCCTCCAGAAATCTGCTTATCCTGTCTTGGTTATCAATATAGAAAAGTAAGACTTAGCTAGCTGTAAGGCACAGTGTTACATTTTTACTCCCTGATCAGCATGTTGGAAATGTCTGGGAGTATTCCAGAGGCTTAGCAGGGCTGTTGGCATGGCTTTTTGGGGATCCTAGAAGCAACAAAGATGCTTCCCATGGAAGTGTACCCCTTTCATCTTCTGCATTCCCTTTTGCCCAGTTTAGAAGGTCCAGAAATCATGAGATGAAATTTAGGAATAAGAACTTCCACTTATTCAACTTTCTGAGTTTGTTAGGCTGTGAGCTACTCAAGGAAAACATGGAGTGTTTTCTTTCTCCTCTCCATGGAGTGTGGCCTTTGATGGGCCTATGCAGGGTTACTTTGTGCAACCTCTAACATGGTCCTTTGCCCAAGGTGAGTAACAAAGGTTCCTGGTTCTGCTGAATCAAGGGTAAAGAATACAGCTTGCTTGCTTGCTTTCTTGAGTTGCTCTTGAGAGGTGGGCTGGGTCTAGGGGGTGAGTTAATATTTGCATAATTGAAATTCCAAGTCTACAATCCTTATGTAAATCCAGTAATGTCTGATACACTCAAAAAATCAGAATCTTTGGGCCTTTAGAAAGGCAATCCAATGCATGATAGAATCTTTTACATATGTGAGGTCTAGGGCAGTGCTCTGCAATCAAATATATTATTTTTTAATGGAAAATACATGAATATTCAGTATACAAGTGGAATAAATGTAGTATAAATAGATTCACCTCCACTCAAGTCATGTTTGCCACATTACCTTTGAAAAGAAACCAACCTTTCAGTGTTTAGAGTATATTGGATTTGTGATTGCCAATAAGGATTGTAGATCTACAGTTATTTTGATTTTGTACTTAATCAAATTGATCTGCAGGGGGTAGTCCACCTTGTGGATGGCTCTTTCCTTGGAGGGGTTCTTTGGTGAGGTATTGTATGGGTCATGGACTCCTGATGATGTTCTTTTTAAGTCCCTCTCTCCATTCTTCTTTCTCTTCCTCTTGGCAGGGATTTGAGCAACTAAGCTAAGGTATCTCTTCTTTTAGTATCTTTATTCTTCTAACGGTACACTCTGAAAGAGCTGCCAAATAAAATATTAAAGAACATTTATGTGCCAAGTCAACAAGTCCTTAATGCAGATAATCTATATTCATCAAAATGCTCAGCCAGACAGGGACCCAGGTCAGTGATTGCTAAGCTGCACCATTCAATCACTGTAGGTAAAGGAGCTTTACAGACTTGAGTTGCATTCTTTGAGGCTCACTGTCTTCAATTCATGTAGTATTCCAACCTAAGATCAAGCCTGCAGCAAATTTGCTACCAGGAGTGTTTGAACATCTGGGGTCTCAGGCTTGTGGAGTCCAAGTTCTTAATGGGAGAACCTAGGAATCTGCATTTTTAACAAGTTTTGCTAAGATATTTTTTATTTTACTTCTGGGTGGCATTTGAAAAATTTGCATAAGTGAAGATCAAACAGCACATTTTCAAAGGTTGTAATTGAGACTTAGGTCACACCAAGAAGTGGGGATCTGATTGGTCTTGAAAGATAGGATTCTTTTTGTTTGCTTTTCTGAGCAGAGAATGCAACTGTCATAAATGACCCAGACTTGCCCAGAAACAAAAGAATTAGATCAAGGCGTGTGTGTGGTGGTAGGGGGATTGGTATCAGGTTATTAGTTTTGTAGGGTTGCTTGATAAAATATAAGACTAGGAGTGGGCATGGTTCAGATGGTACAGAGCTTGCCTAACATGTACAAATTCCTGTGTTCAATCCCCAATATTACAAAAACAAACAAAACAAAAAACAACAGAGCCACTGGAATTCCAGACAAACATTGAACAAGTTTAAATACGTAATACTGATACTTAAATATTCCATGCAACACTTAAGACTTACCAATACTAAACATTCTGGTTTATCTGACATCTATATTTAACTTGTATATTTTTTATTAAAGTGTGCACTGTTGGGTATTGATAAATCCACTTACCCCCATGGGATGCAAACCAGGTGGCACTTGTGAGCATGCACTATGACTAAGTCTGTTTTTACCTGCCTTTGGTTAAAAGCATCTAAGGCTTTTATCATATTGAAGTTGAAGCATTGAAAATGAGTCTCTTGTCTCTTTCTCCTCACACATGTATGTGCGTGCATGGTTGAGCACAAACATCTACTTGTATTTTGGAAAACTGCTTGCTTGCCATTTACATTTTTTAAAAAATGGATTTTTAACTAATGCATAAAACATGAAAAATTTCCTTTTTTATGTTTTTGTTGAGAGTTTTGGTCCTTTTTTGTTTGTATGTTATTATTAAAGTAATGCTGTCTCACTGTAGTCAACCTTTGCTTCTCTTGCTAATCAATTTTTAATTCTTTCATTGCAGATCTTCCTTCTTGCCTGCCCCCCATGTCCAGGAGCTATCGTTGTTTTCAAGTAAGAGAAATTTGTATTTTGCTCTATTGCTAATGTTAACTGGGCTACTTTGTTTGATCACTATTGTTTATGTGCTGTGAACATCTTAGGCTAATAACTTGTCTCTGGAGTTGCCCATGGCATAGGGAAATGCTGTATGTGGACGTGTGGCTTTTGGTGGGCCAATCTTTGTAGTTACATAGCCATGACATGCTCCCTTGGAAGGTTGCTGGCCTGTTCAAGATGCTCTGTAGAGTTGGAGACCAGACAGACAGCTTCCTTCCTCTGTAGAATCTGCTTGTGACCCTACTTCTCCCCTGGGCATATGGTTCTTCATGTTCAAGGGCTTTGTTCGGTGTCCTAATAGTTTCTCTTAAAGTGCAAATTAAAGTGAGGAAAGAAAAATATCACCTTATTACAAGTCCTGGCTTTCTCAAAAATAGCAAGTTGTCGAATCCATTAAAGTGTATTGCAAGCAAATCTTGTTTCTCTGAAAGCAAGTTTACTTAAATGAAATTAGCAAGAGTCCCAAAACCCTCATTTTAACCATGAGTTGTGACCAACTCACTCATCAGACCTTTCATTAGAGCTGCTAATGAGAAGGTAAATCGACTTAATTCATTTCATGTCTTTCTCCTTCGTGGGCCCCCATTTTGGAGCTGTTCATAAGCAGGGAAATGGTGGCCAGCCACAGGGCAGGAACAGGAAGAAAAGCTCAGCAGCTCCTTGGATAATTGAGAGCAGTGCAAATGGCTTTCTGATTTACTTAAGTCATTAAAGTGTTAGGTAGGGGAAGAATACCCATTTACTGCTTCAAATAGTTCTTTGAAATAGCCACTTAGTCTCTTGCCTTAGGTGAGTAACTTTCCTGCTGGGTTGAGGGGTAATGGATCCTGACTTCATGTATTTCTTACTTGGACAGCTCCTAAGAGAAAGGGGATGTATTTCAATTTGTTTCCCCCCTGACTTTTCAAAATGAACTCAATTATTTAGTGTAATGTTTTAAAAGTAACATTTATTGCTTTTATTTCATTATGTTGAAAGTAATGTTTATCGAAATAGAAAATATAGACACATAAGGAAGAAAATAAGCATCACTCCCAAGAGATAATTTTAGTTTATTGCCTTACTTTTTTAATAAGAAAGATCATATTGTATATGGAGGTGTTTAGTGTGTGATTTCTAAATTTATTAGCATGTTTGTATACATGTATAAATATGGCTGCCAGATTTATTTGTGTGCCAGAACTAGGACTTGAACTCAGGGACTGGGCACTATCCCTGATCTTTAACACTCAAGATGGGTGCTCTCCTACTTGAGCCACAGCTCCACTTCAGTCTTTTGCTGGTTAATTGGAGATGGGAATCTCATGGATTTTTCTGCCTGGCTGACATTGAAACAGGATCCTCAGATCTTAGCCTCCAGAGTAGATAGGATTACAAGCAATAACCATACATTCCTGGCTAGATAATAGCTTTTTATCTGTCATTGTTGTTATAGATATTTCCCCCAAATCCATATGCTTTGGCTTTGCTGATAATACATTCTTATATTTTTATGTATATTTTTTTGTTCCAGTCGCTAGGCTTGAACTCAAGGCTAAAGGCTAGTGCTCTACCACATGAGCACCCTTGCCCCAGCAATAAGAATCTCATATTCTTTTCTGCTTGGGCTGGCTTCAAATAGTAGTCCTCAGATTTCAGCCTCCTGAGTAACTAGGATTATAGATGTGAGCCAGCAGTTCCCAGTTTATGGCTTTTTCTTATACACAGATGATTCTCTTTTTATAAAACTTCTGCAATGGGCTGAGAATGTGCCTTAGTGGTAGAGTGCTTGCCTAGTATGCATTGAGCTCTGGGTTCAGTTTCTCAGTACATAAACAGAAAAAGCAGGAAGTGGTACTGTGGCTCAAGTGGTAGAGTGCTAGCCTTGAGCAAAAGAAGCTCAGGAACAGTCCCAGGCCCTCAGTTCAAGCCCCAGGACTAGATTTACATACATTATTTTAAATTATTTCATAACAACCATTTGTAGTTCTTTTTTTTGGGGGGGGGTCCAGTTGTGGGGCCTGAACTCTGGACCTGGGCGCTGTCCCTCAGCTCTTCAGCTCAAGGCTAGCGCTCTACCACTTGAGTCACAGTACCACTTCCGGCTTTTTTCTTTTTGTTTGTGTGGTACTGAGGAATCGAACCCAGGGCCTCATGCATGCAAGGCAAGCACTCTACCACTAAGCCACCTTCCCAGCCCAACCATTTGTAGTTCTTATTTTTCCTTCTTAACTGAACAGCTATCTTTGTTATTTCATGTTTTATATACTAGGGTTTATTTATTGATCATTCTCTTTCATCTATTTATGTGTATATGGTAAGTACACTGATTTGATGATAGTAGCTGAAAGTATTTTTGTCCATTCTATGGCATTTTCCTTAGATTTCCCTATTAGGGTTCTAACTAGAATTACAATAAATTTATATTTTAGTTTTTAAGTAGTACAGGTCTTTTTATATAACATGCTATTTCTTTCCTTATCTTCTAATCTGATTTTATGACTTTAAATTAGTTAGGTCCTTTTCTTTTTACCTGCTCTATATCTTTTCGATGCATTTATTTCTCAAAAATTACCAGCCCTTTTTCTTGTTATGAGTAAAATATTTCTTCCCTTTCTATCACTAAGTGCTTTATGTTAGAATATAAAAAAGATTATTGATTTTATAAATATTTGTTATATCTAACTACCTTATCAAATTTTCTTGCTTGTTCTGGTAATTTTTCCCCAATAGTTATACTAGGCATTTCTTTCTTTTTCCTCCCTCCCTCCCTCCCTCCCTCCTTCCCTCCCTCCCTTCCTCCCTGCCTGCCTGCCTGCCTTCCTGCTTTCCTTCCTTCCTTCTTTTCTCTTTCTTCTTCCTCTGTCTTTTATTCTCTCCTTTTTTATCTCCTTCTCCTCTTCCTCCTCTAATCTCTTCTTCCTTCCTTTTCTTCCTCCTCCTCCTGCTCCTCCTCTTCCTTTTCCTCTTCCTTGCACTGGTGTTTGACCTTAGGACTTCATGCTTGTTGGTCAGGTGCACTACCACTGAAGCCAAATTTTCAGCCCATATTTAATTTTCTTGTTACATTTACTAGAAAATCAGGAAAACTTCAATAAAAATGATGCCAGTGGCCTACTCTGCCTGATTTAAAATATAAATGTTGTTTGCCTTTATAGTTGCTGTTGCTGTTTAATTTCCACAATTACTGAAGAGATTTTTGTCTGGGTTTTAATTTTCTTTTAGATTGCTATTCATTCATTCATTCATTCATTCAGTGATGACAATGGAACCTGTGGCTTCAATCTAATAGTTTCACATACAATGAATTATGTTAATAGAGTTTCTTAATTTGAACTACTCTTACATTACTGGAGTAATCTTGCTGATTGTAGTGTACTACTATTTTAGCATATTGCCAGTTTCTATTTGTAAACATTTTATTTGGAACTTAGCTTCTGTATTCATGAGTGACATTGCAGTCATTTTATATGCTTTTTCATCAGACTTGAGGATTAAAGTTATACACCACAAAATATTCCTTCTTTTTCTCTGCTTTGGAATATTTTAATTGCCCTTAGACAATATGAATCTTTTAAATATCCAACAAAGCTCACCTGTAAAGCCCATTTGGTCTTGGTATCCTTTTTAGTGAATATACCAGACCCATAATTAACCTTTCAGTGTCTTCTATGGTTATCAATTTTTTCCAAATCTTTTAGGTTACTTGTATTTGTTAGGAAAATTCTCACTTTTTTTGTGTTTAAATTTGTTGCCCTAAATTTAATAGAGTATGTAATGCCCTCTTATTTTAAAATTTAAAACTTATCAACCTGTATGAATTTAGGTGTTTTTCCTTGAACTTAATCTGGTCTATTTTCGTGGTCGTTTAATCTAGACTTTAATCCTCTTGGTCAACATATTATTGATATTTTTGGTCAGTACATAGAACATTGTTTTGGATTTTTACCTTATCGTATTTGTGTTTCCTATTATTTAATTTTATGCTTTTATCTTCATTGATTCCCTTGCCCTGTTTTCATAATCTCTCAAGATGAGTATTCCTTTAACCTTGTCCACTTTAGTCCTAGGTTTCAGTTGTCTTTCATTCACTTACTGTGCTTTTTCGATTTTATTATGCACTCCACATCACTTTGAAATTTAGTACTTTGAGATAATTAGATATAATTATAGAATGTGTGAAGCCTAGTACTGTATTGCAGTTGTACAAAAATACAGAGAAAGTCTGTGTGCCATTTATCTAGTTTCCTTCTATGCTAACCACTTGCAGAATTATAGTAAAGGACCCATGCCAGGAAATGAGCATTGATGTAATTTGATCTAAAGAACAGCTCCATCACCATAGCAATCCTTCATGTTCCTCTTTTATAGCAATACTCACCACCTCCCCCTTTACACTCCATCTCTGACCTCCTGCAGATACTAATCTGTTCTTTATCTCTGTAATTTTTTATTTCCTTTTTTTGGTAATTTTTTATTTCAAGTATGTTATATAAATGTAATCATAAATCACATTTGGATTGATTTTTGTCATAATTCCTTGAAGATTAATCAAAAGTTTTTTTGTTTTGTTTTTTTTTTTTTGGGTCCGGTCGTGGGGCCTGAACTCTGGGCCTGGGCACTGTCCCTCAGCTCTTCAGCTCAAGGCCAGCGCTCTACCACTTGAGCCACAGTGCCACTTCCAGCTTTTTTCTTTTTGCTTATGTGGTGCTGAGGAATCGAACCCAGGGCCTCAGGCATGCAAGGCAAGCACTCTACCACTGAGCCATCTTCCCAGCCCTAATCAAAAGTTTTATAGTACACTCCCATTTTAAATGGGAGAATTTTATTCCACTTTGTGGAAATATTGTGTACAATATGAAGTTAAAAATGAATATTTTAGTTGAGCATAGGGTACATACTTGTTATCTTGGCATTTGGGAGGCTAGGCAGGAGGATTGCAAGGCCAGCTTGTCTACATAGTGAGACTGTGTCTT